ATAATGACAAATCTCCCAGATGCTTTTCGAGATTCTGTCCACTGTTTATACTATCTTACTGGCTAGGAAAATTTTCCAAATAGTCACTTAACTGAATGCTTTAAAGAACAGGAATAAGCCTGACCTGATGGACTTATGAGTTTCAACTATTAAGAATCTCCTCATATTAAATTTATATTTCATTTTATCCTAAACAATCCTTAAGACAGATCCTGGCAACGGGTCCTTTGTTTTACTTAGGAAAGGATCCATTTTTTTTTGAAGTTGCTACTGACATGCTGCTTCTGTCTTGAACTGTCCTGCGAGTGTCCTGATACCAATAAGCAGCATGAACCTGCAGGTATTTATATTCCCCCCCGCCCCGAAGTCAGACACAGGAACTGAGTAGCCAACATATATGCCAGACAATGACAAAAACTCTAATTAGATCCGCTGGAAAAATATTCCCTCTGTTGGTTATGGATGCCCCGCTTCCAGACACAAACCATACTCCAAACTTACATTAGGAGCAAAAAGTTAACCACTGACTAAAGTTGTTATACTGTTTCTCAGTTAGAAAGCAGGGTCTTCAGCTTGCCAAGTTTAAAGCATTGTCTTGATGTCTATACCAGGCTGAATTTAGCTGAAATATTTAGCTGTTTGTTTATTTACAACAGTAGCTTTGTTTCAGGGTCATGAAAGTTTGGCATAAGATGTCCTTTAATGGTGAGAAACTCTTATCATCCACAGAAAAAAATTGCTTGGATTTCACCAAGCTGAAAGACCAGCCCCAGACTTGTAAGAAAACAATATTACGGGACCAAAAGTGGTATCCTACTGACTGCCACAGCAGCATTGTTCCAAGCACCAGATATTACTAAGACGCTACACCAATCCTCCAGTTTCCCTGTCCTCTCCGAAACATCCGTGACACCTATGTCCTAGTGCTAAGGAAACATCCAGGGGCAACGTTAAAGGACTTCTACTCTGAATCCCAGCTATTCATTCAAGCTACGTGTAAGAATGGTCTTAACCTCTACGGATAAGCAAGTTCCTGTCACTCTTTGCAGCTCCCGAGCTTGGCCTTGAATGTCTCTGTGATCATGCTTAACTCCATGCTCCAATTGGCGAGCATAGGCTTTCCCATCGAGAGCAAGGATACAGGTCATCAATAGACAGAGCTAGCACCTCTAACAGCACCTTACAAGTTACACTAAGTCCAGCTATAGCAATACAAGGAATCAAGACGATTCCCCACCAGAGAAAGTGTGTGACCCTCTACAATTCAAGCCTGTCACACCTGACATAGATGAACAGTTTGATGGCCCTGGAGAGCTTCTTCTAACAAGAAGAATTCCATCAACAATTTGATCTGTTGTTGAAGCATGTGAAGACCCCATTAACATCTGGTCTCTGAGCTCGCCCCATCCAGCCTGGGTCACTGGCCTCCATTCTCCAAGCGATTTCCATTGAGAGGAAGCCCTCCCCCCATTCTCCCAGCCAATCTAACACATCCTCTCCCCTCATAAAACTCTTGGGCTCCTGCAAGTATCTCAACAGCCAGACTTCAGGAAGCGTGCTTCCCTCTCACTGCTGTTTAATTCGAGATTTCTATTAATCCACTAGTATTCCCATCACCCCAGCTGGGCGTAAGTACTCACCGTGCACCAGGGAAAGAAACAAACCCAATGTATCACATGAGAAAGGCAGACAGAAATGTGGGAAGAGAGCAGAGAAATCCAAGAGACATCCCCAAGGAGTGAAAGAAATATGAAGGCTGCTCTCAGCACTCCAGCAGGTCCGGAGGAGGGCCACGGAAATGGTCCGGTGGCTGGAATACTTCTCCTGTGAAGACAGGCTGAGAGAG